GTCATGTTTTTGTTCCTTAGAGGTTGAACACTTTGATTTATGTTCATTACATTGTTTTCGCACGTTTGTTTTAAATAAGAGGAAGAGTGTAGGATGTGTTGGACGAGTGTCCGAAATGTGTTGAACAAGTGTCCAAGATGCGTCGGCCAAATGTCCGAAATATTAAATTTTATTTTTAAATAAAGGACATGGCCATGAAGTGTCGGACATGTGTCTAGGGGTGTCCATGGAGTATAGGTGTCCAGACACATCACCTCATAGAAGTGTCCATGTTTTTTAGGTTTTCTCTTTTGATGTTTTGTGTCCATGGAGTATCGGTGTCCGTTTTTGGTAGTTGTGATAGTTGATAAGCGATTTGGTTGCCGATTATCGTACCAGAAAGAGCAATCAGCTCCATCACCAATTCTAATTTTGAGGTTTGGCTTGGCTGATTTCCCTTAGTTGTAGTAGCTTCCTCCAACTGTAGGAGCATTGCTGAGTTAAATTAACTTGCCAGAAGCACCTTTATTTAATTAAGTGATGGTTGCACGATTGAGACCAAATACTATTGTTGTTGTCAGTAAGTAGTGTCCATAGGTGTCTCAGCACTGCTGCCTTGTTGCTCATCTCAATATTAGGTAGTCCAAGGCCCCATTGGTTTTGGTTTGCAAATTTTCTCCCAAGCAACCATGCACCCTGATTTCTTTAGGTCTATTCTTTTCCATTAAAAGCTTCTGAAAATGCTATTAAGATCATTGATGACTGATTTAGGGAGAATCAAGATGCAAGTCCAGTAGGTTTGAATAATCATAAGCACTGATTTCACCAATTGTAACATTCCAGCATAGGTGAGAGATTTGATGCTCCAATGGGTGATTCTGCTAGTTATTTTGTTCACTAGCAGCTTGCAGTCCACTGAATTGAGCCTTGTTGAAGTTAGAGGAACCATAAGGTACTTAATAGGCTGACAACCCTTCCCAATTCCCTAAAGGTGAGAGATGCTAAGCTTGTTAGAAAGATTAAGGCCCTAAAAAAAACAACTGAACTTTTAGTAAGGCTCGTGGTAAGTCCAGGTAGTTTAGAAAAGTGATCAACTTGAGAATTCTAACAGAATCAGCATTGCCATGGCTTAGTAAGATTAAGTCATAGGAATAGCTGAGATGGGTTATACCCTAAGTGTTTACACCTCCAATGGTATTTGAACTTAGGTTATGAGGCAACAAATGTCTTAAAACATGTTACTTCGACTGGTATTCCTACAATCCCCAGAATTAAGGTACCTGGACATGGGTGCTTTTTGCAAGTGTGTTACTTTCCAAAGAAAAATAATTTATTTTGCCTTACGGAATCCTTTGTGAGCTGATTTAGAATAAATGAGCTCTTTCAGGAATAGGTTTCTTCAAGAAGGAACACATGCTTGCACACAAACAAAAGGCATCCAACAGTTCATGAGGAACCTGATATGAATTAGTGACAGGGTTACCATCGCAACTAACAGCTTGCCTTCTCATCCCCTTCAATTTTCTTCTCAATTCTTATCATTTCCCCCCTAGATTTCTGTTACTAGCAAGATACCAGAGCAACCATTTGGCACTTATTTACTTATAAAATAAAATAAAAAACGATATGGCACGTATTTAATGCAACATGTAATAGTACATATGGTGTTTCTGCAGATTGGCCCGTCTTTAGTTTAACCTACTGTGTCATTTTCAACAATTATTTAATTAGCAGCCATTTATTCACCCAACATAAGGCAAGATTGTTTTTTGTTAATACTGGCCATCATGTTCTAGTTGTCTAGATTTGAACTTATATTTCACCATATTTTCTATTAGCCTTTCTTTCCCTCTACTCTTCCTTTTTTCTTTTGCATTTACACTAGTGTTTGGTATATCAGGATATTGTTCAGGAGATAATTGATGAAGAGGATGAAAATTGAAAAGTCTAAAGAAGGAGTATGGTGATGAAGTTTACGAGGCTGTGACAACGGCCTTGGGTGAGATGAACCAATACCCACTGGTAGGTTCCCGCTCCCAGAGCTTTGGAATCGCTTAGAAGGAAGGGAAAGCAACACTAACAGAGGGAGTAGCTTATATACTGAAGCTTTGGAAATTTTATAAAATGAAGAGAAAGAAACTGAAGGTTGTTGTAACGACCCTAAACTGCTACCTTGTTGCTCATCTCAATATTAGGTAGTCCAAGACCCCATTGGTTTTGGTTTGCAAATTTTCTCCCAAGCAACCTTGCACCCTGATTTCTTTAGGTTCTTTTCCATCAAAAGCTTCTGAAAATGCTATTAAGATCATTGATGACTGATTTAGGGAGAATCAAGATGCAAGTCCAGTAGGTTTGAATAATCATAAGCACTGATTTCACCAATTGTAACCTTCCAGCATATGTGAGAGATTTGATGCTCCAATGGGTGATTCTGCTAGTTATTTTGTTCACGAGCAGCTTGCAGTCCACTGAACTGAGCCTTGTTGAAGTTAGAGGAACCGTAAGGTACTTAATAGGCTGACAACCCTTCCCAATTCCCAAAATGTGAGAGATGCTAAGCTTGTTAGAAAGATTAAGGCCCTAAAAAAAAATAACTGCACTTTTAGTAAGGCTCATGGTAAGTCCAGGTAGTTTAGAAAAGTGATCAAAAGCTTGCTTGAGAGTTCTAACAGAATCAGCATTGCCATGGCTTAGTAAGATTAAGTCTATCAGAAAAGTTGAGATGGGTTATACCCCAAGTGTTTACACCTCCGATGGTATTTGAACTTAGGTTATGAGGCAACAAATGCCTTGAAACATGTTACTTCGACTGGTATTCCAGCAATCCCCAGAATTCAGGTACCTGGACATGGGTGCTTTTTGCAAGTTTGTTACTTTCCAAAGAAAAATAATTTATTTTGCCTTACAGAATCCTTTGTGAGCTGATTTAGTCTTGATGGTGGTGAGCAGTTTCTTGTCTAATATTTTCTTTTTAAAAAAAGAAACAGATGGTTTGTTTGGATTTTGTTTCTTCTAGACATAGTTGTCTTTATCTGCGTGTGTGGGTGTTTTCTTTTGGGTGTGTATAACTGTTGCACAAATAAATTGTTGGGTTTTTGTTTTCAAGATTTATTTTTTGAGATGTTTTGGTTCACAACAAGAGTAATGTTTGGGGAAGGGCTGGCATTAGGTATAGGGAATGGAATTCCGACACCGAGGAGTTGGGAAAAGGCATTATTGAGTTGAGTTGAGATGTTTTTGGTGGTACCTTGCTATATTTATGACACCGACATTTAATCAACAAGCTAACATATTATGGCCTGTGTAGTCCGTGTTTTATATTTATTGGTCTTTTTTCAATTTTCAAGTGTTGAATTTTTCTAAACATATTTTTAAGTCACAATTTTGATTGCGCGAAGTTCAAAAATCAAAGGATTCACAAGGTTGGATTCTGTAAGATGACTTGTTCATAATGCTTGCAAGCTATTCAGTATCTTCCAATCCCATTTTTGGATCTGAATATGTGGACTTTAGTTTTTTAAAAACATATAAGGAAAAATAAAAACGTTTTTTGCTACTCATGTCAACACGTGGCCCTTGGAATGGTGGATCTATGTACAAGTTTCTTGCAGGATGACTTTTATTTTGTTTTTCTATTATTCTTATATGCACACAATAAAGTCCTCGAAATTTTTGGTCTGCGTAATGTCCTTGCCTTGTAGGCTTTGAAGGAACGGTCAAATAGGTATGCTTTGATTGGTGTCAAGAGAATGGGAGAGCTTGATGATAAATCATTCCACACTGCGGCCAAGAGAAAACATTCAGATGAAGAGGCAGCAGAAAAGGCAGTGGAATTATGTTCCCTGTGAGAAGGTTATCTCAGGGATCCAAGCTGGCTTTCTTATAAAATCATCATGGTTAAAGAAGGTTCTAAGGTATTTGTTGCATTGATGTGGTGTTATTGCCCACTATCACCGCCTTCTATCTCTCCCTCTCCCCTAACCCGACTATATACTATTTTGACATTATTCAGTTAGTGCTGATACACCTGATAGAGCCTTGTGTAGGGCCTCTAGGCCCACACATTCTAATTTTAGAACCATCTTGATATCTCTATTATTTATTTTTGTTTGGTTGTTCTTAATTTGCCATATTGAATATGTAGAATAAATGAGCTCTTTCAGGAATAGGTTTTTCAAGAAGGAACACATGCTTGCACACAAACAAAAGGCATCCAACAGTTCATGAGGAACCTGATATGAATTAGTGACAGGGTTACCATCGCAACTAACAGCTTGCCTTCATATACCCTCCGATTTTCTTCTCAATTTTTATCATTTTCCCTCTAGATTTCTGTTACTAGAAGGATACCAGAGCAACCATTTGGCACGTTTCTGCAGATTGACCTGTCTTTAGTTTAACCTACTGTGTCATTTTCAACCATTATTTAATTAGCAGCCATTTACTTACCCGACATAAGGCAAGATTGTTTTTTTGTCAATACTGGCCATCATGTTCTAGTTGTCTTGATTTGAATTTATATTTCACCATATTTTCTATTAGCCTCTCTCCCTCTACTATTCCTTTTTTCTTTTGCATTTACACTAGTGTTTGGTATATCAGGATATTGTTCAGGATATAATTGTTGAAGAGGATGAAAAATTGAAAAGTCTAAAGGAGTATGGTGATGAAGTTTACGAGGCTGTGACAACGGCCTTGGGTGAGATGTATCAATACAACCCCACTGGTACGTCCCGCTCCCTGAGCTTTGGAATCCCTTAGAAGGAAGGGAAAGCAAACACTGACAGAGGGAGTAGCTTATACACTGAAGCTTCGAAAATTTTATAAAATGAAGAGAAATAAACTGAAGGTTGTTGTAATGACTGTAAACTGATACCAATTAAAATAATAATAATAATAATAAAAATGACATGACTTCTGCTAAAAAGGGTCTATAACGCTTTTCTTAGCCCTTCAAGACTTATCTAACTTGTCCCAACACACAATACAAAAAAAATAATATATTCCCCAAAACAACAATATCAACAACCTCCTCAAGATGACCCATCATCATCATCCCATTCAACACAAAATATTTACATAATCTCGCTTCCCTTCAAAATACCAACAAGAGTTATAGTTCACAATACATGGCCATGGCTTGCAAAATGATACACTTCATTATGGTTTTGGGACTTTTACAAAAGCGTGATAAATATACAAAAGGCGGCAAAAAAATAAACTCCTAGTCTTCCTCATGCTTGTGAAGGGTCGGCGTCCCCTATTTCCTTTCCCAGTCTTGAAAAATGTTTAATGAAATGAGGTGAGCAATTTGCTCAATAGGTGGTACCTAAGACATACCTCTTGTAATTTCGTGAATCCAAACAATGAATAGGACAATAAAAAACGAGATCATGTTAAGCCGGGGGAAAATATAACATCAATTTCAAATTCAAAATAAACAATGTCGTGCCATGATATGCAATGCCATGTATGTCACTCCCCATTTTCAAAATCATCTACTACTTCACAAACTGTTAATATAACCCGTCCGTTGGTGACTCCGCAGCGACACGAGAGAATGATTGGCTACTGTCTCTGACCCCTAGTACTTCTGCGGCGTCATTTGGGGCCTAGCTAGCTCAACCACACTAGGGTGATCTCCTTAGTTCCCTTTTATGTTATATTAATACCACAGCCCTTTGGTGACTCCGCGGCGATCGGGTTTTTTATAAAATCACTTTAATCAAAACTTTACCCCAAAATCCCTTTTTCATTTAGTTCAAATCATTTTGCCCATTTTTCCATGCCCAATGCTATGAATGCATGTCACATACTTTGACATCACTATGAAAATAAAAGAATTTCTACAACACAATTTAACATGCTTCCACATAGCAAATTTCTAGCAAAATAATAAACACAATGGTATGAAAATTAACATTTAGGCATGCTTTTTATACAATTTAATTACTACACATAATCATATATTTCATTTACAACATTAATATCATTTCTAAATAAATCAACTCAAATTAAATATGCTTGACAACAAATATTGAAAGAAAATTCACAAAGGAACAAGAAATTGGGAATTAGGAACCCCTACCTCAAAATATACAAAAACTCCCAATTTTGAGCCCTAGATCTCGAAATTCTAAGGTTGGCTAAACAAGGATTTGCTCTTATCAAACGGCATCCAAAAATACCAAATGATGAAGGAGAAATCTCACTTACAGGAATGGATGAGAAAATGAGGCCAATAATATGGTCTTGACCACTTAAAGTGGGGGTGGATTTCACTTTCAAAAAAATAATTTCTTTTCTCTTTAATTTTATTTTCATTCTCATTTTACACCACACCATTATATGTCTATATAAACTATATAAAATCCACATAAATTACATTAAGTAAAATACATGAGGTGCCAATGGACCCAACTAAAATCCCCTTATACAACAATTCATGTAGCGGGTCCCACATAGAATTGTCCGGCTCGAAAAACTGAAAAATGCCAAAATGATCACCCTTGCATTTCAAATAGTCTTGAACTCAATGAAATGCATCAACCAACTCTCTAACACAACCGACACACTCCGCGGTGACCGATACAAAAAAATAACAAAAGACAAAAATGCCCTTGCAACGACCAAAATTCTAAAAAAATGAAAAATGACAGAAAAATGAAAACATCACAGTTGTGTTATGAATTTCAAATGCAGAGCATCAACTACTAAACTGACATTCACAGCACCATTTCAAATTTGAAAGCAGACGCTAATCTATGTTAAGTCGAGAAATTAAGAGAATCTATTACTGTTATCAGTAAATTGAGGACGACTTAAGTCGATTTGGTGCCATCCTTCGTGGGAACAAAGAAAATCTGCCCGATGGTACTGTATTCCTTGATTATCAGATGAAAATGGACCAATTATGCCAATGTGCTGTAACATTATGCTTTCTAACATGTATACTCCAGTTTTTTTTAAGGGAAAAAAATATATATATACAGTAATTTTTCAACGCATTAAATTTTGTTAAATTAGATGATTTAATATGTTAAAAACAAATTTAATTGCGTTAAGAAACCTAAAAAATGGCATGCTATAACAACATAGAATCCAAGCTCTTTATGATGATGGATCCCAAGCAAGTCTTTTCTTGTAGTTAGTTAGAAATCTTTTGTTTTCTTTATTACTATTTGAGCCTGTTCATTATTATTATTTTTTTTTAGAGTACGTGTATCGATTTTATAATACAAGCACCATTAAATCAGAAGAACTTCGAAAACAAGACTTCAAAAACTTTCCTTCCAGATCATCCTTGCCAACTTAATTTAGTTATGTAGAATGGTAAAAAAAGATAATGAATACTGATAGGGAAAAATATAAACCTACCCTACCCTCGATAAGATTAATTAGATTTCATTATCAAGGATAATGAAATCTGACGTGGTTCAACAGGGTAAGAATAATCCTATCATAATTGGAGGAGGTCAAAAGGATTATTCATATCCCTGGCAACAAATTTCCTATGATCTCGCACAAGTGGAAGATAAGATCAACCATCGACATCGGCAAAACCAATTGGATTCCAATCGACAGCCATAAATAGGGCACCAAACCGTTAAAGAAGGTACGAGAAAAAATCCCTAAACAGAATATACATAATTATTATGTGATACGATTACAAGTACTAACTTGATCGTCGGAGGGTCCTCGGTCGGCACCCCACCAGTGCCATTCGAGGTGACGTCCCTTTGTTTTGCAGGTAAACGCCGTCGTTTCGAGTCGTGAGGATTTCCGCATCAACAAATGGTTAGAGCCAACTTAATTTGTAACGTCTATTCTTTAATTTCATTAGCTAATTTCTGAATTAAATAATAATAATGATTATTTCACAAGTTTTTTTTAAAAGCTTTAAGTTATTGGATTTTTTTAATTATTATTTTATGACGAATAACTTAAAGCTATTATCATTATTATTATTAAATTATTGAGTCTTATATATTTCAAAATGCCTTCGAGATAAGTTGTATGGATGGGTTGCACGGGATGACGACTTTTATTCCAAAAGCATATGTGGTGAGCATCTCCAAAAGAAAGGCAATCTGAAAATAATTTCTGATATTGAAGAAGACTAACGAGAAAAACTAAAAAACTTTAATCCAACTTGACTCGTGTATTGAGTTGAAAAAATATGCACCTTAAGGAGATGGAGTGTAAATATAATCACTACAAGAAAAATAATTTTTTATCACGCACTTTTTATCACGGTAAGTCACTAAGCAATTAACTTGATCGCCCAAAAAGATAAGATGGACCGAGTTTACAATGAAGGTGCATACTCTTTAATGTGCTTGACCAGGAAAATAGCCTGATTGTGCCACTAGTATGCAACAACTAATTAATTAGTTGCTGATTTGCTTCATTTTTTTTTTTTTCTTTTTCAATTACCGAACTCACAGTATTATTTTTTTCTTGATGAAAACTAGAAATACAAAAGATGCAGCAGAATGCACAAGATCAACTTGGAAGCCCATGCAGAGCAAAGAACTCGAACAGCGTGCTATAAAATTGATGGAATGGAGATCCATAATGGCGATGAGAGAAGGAGGCTCTATTGTGAGAAGTTAATGGTGCTGTGTCTTTTATTCGTTTTTCTTCCATTCTTGGGTATTGTTTGGGAATTTTTCAAAGTGCTATGGAGGGAAACACAATTAGTTTCCCAAGTAGGTTTAGATACGAAGTTTGTGCCATTTCAGCAGATGCTAGAACTTACAACGAAAAAAAGATAAGTAACTGTTTCTATATTTTTTATTTGTCTAATTATTTAGATTTTAACTAAATGTTCTGTAAATATCTTAAACTGTTTTATGTATTCGGCTGATTTTATTTGAGCAATGTTCTGTAGATTTTAACTAAATGTTCTGTACATCCTAGCTAGGTAACAACCATTTGAATTTTTGTCAATAATGGTAACAGATTTGCTTTGTTCTTACGAGAGAGAAACCTTGGAACAGGGGTGGCAAATTACGATACGGCAAAACGACACGAGTTAAAAAGATTTGAATTTGGCATAAACGGGTTTGGATCATAAAAAGGTCGACACGATTTACTCGTTTACTTCATCGTGTCGGGTTAGGGTTGAGGAATTTAACCCGTGTAACCCGTTTATGACCCATTTAACTCAACATATTATAATCGTGAATATAACATAGGTAATATGTTACCTGTTTAAACCCAATTACGATGAATAGTTAAGTCATTTTAACATAAACCTTGTCTGTGTCTTATATTTTTTCTTCTTATTTTGAATATTTGAGTTAATTATGACAATTTTTATTATTATTTAGTATTTGATTAATTATTAAATGTCTCGTTTTGATAAACAGGTCATTAAAGGAGTTAACGAGTTTACCTGTTTAATAAACGGGTTAGGTTAATATTGAGGATTCTTGACACAATTATTAAATGAGTTGGGTTTGAGTTTACCTATTTAGTATAATACTCTTACATCAATACGACATAAACACAACCCACGAACATGAATTGCCACCCCTTCCTTGGAGCGAAAGGAGGTGGATGAAAACGATTTAAGATTGGGGGAAGATCAGAAGGTATAATTCTACCCATTTTATGTTTTTACTTAATTAACTAGGAAAGAAATTATGATTGTCTAGAAACTTTTGAACTTTGCTATGTGATTGTGACTTAAGTTGTAGAGGGAGGAAAAAAAAAGTCCACAAAAGAAATATTGAACTAGAAAAGAATGTTGATGGCAAACAAGCACTGGAGTTGGAGATAGACCAAACGAGAGGGGATCTACACGTAACTACACGTAATGAAACACATAATGGAGAAAATTGGGATTTGGTAACGAACTATTAATTTGCCAAAAATGCTACAAACTACTGTAAAGTTTCTTTCATCTCTTTCACATATTTGATGAATCTTATCCAAAATACCACAAAATTTAATTTTTTTTTAAATTTTAATTTAGAAATTCCTAGTTATTCCAAACAGTAAATATAATCCTTTTTTAATTATAAATCCTATTCCTTTCCAATATAATTCCAAATCCTTAAAAAAAATAAAAAAAATAAAATGTGCCTACACAAAGAATATTACTAATTGAATTTTTGATACACAGGCATTTTGGGATGTAAAATATTGATGGGCCTAAAAAAGGTGCAAGGCAGAATAGGGATACTGTTGTCATTTCACACCCTAAGTTGAACAGTAAAATATAGTACTACCCGTCTGCGTTTTCGAGGGCGACCAGGAAATAAAACCCTCGACTCATCCTAGTTCAACTTCTGTTAGGATTCTACTTTCTTTCTGATATCGAGAAGAATTGCCATACCTCTATATATATATATATATATATATATATATATATATAGTAAGATAGGTCAGTAGGTCAGTACAGCGTCATAAATCTCACTTTCTTCTTGATTTGATTCTCTTTACTGATTGTTTTATTGCATCAGCAGTTGTGAATTAAGATTATTGCGGGCTACAATCTGGTGAGTTGTTGTGATTATTCATATTTTTTATTTATATAAATAGATAACACCATTTATTATTATTTTTATTATTATTATTATTTTCGATAACACCATATTTAAGTGGTTCATTACACCTATAAGTAATTCCAACTATATCCTGGTTAACCACTTTTTGTATTCATTTGTCTTTTTATGAATCATTTAGTCTAAGATTATAAATCCTTTCAAATTTTTGTCAATTAATTGATTATTGTAGACATGATGTAAGTTATTGTGATTGTGATTATTTAGACATTGCACTGTTATTGGTTATGGATATGGGGTCATTGGAGGAGTCAGATTGGACATGGTTGCCAAAACACTTATTCGCTTTGGTGCCGTTTGTAAAATGGCAATCTAGGGTAATGGAGAACAAAGTTGAATTCTTTCAAAAGAAGTGTTGCAGACAAGTTCCATTTTTGTTGATCCCTATGGAAGATAATAGCGACAAATGACATAGTCTGTACAACATTTTTTGCAATAAAATATATGATTTTCAAGTACGGGTACCTTACAAAAAGAGGCTTTCTAGTTCCTCACATGGTTGGTTGTTTATTGTTGAAGAATCCTTTGCCTTAACCCTAATCAACCCGTTCTCTAGCGCCACCATTGAGCTTCCTCCGATTATGGACTACTCAATATTCGAACCTAATAATGATGAAGATGTAATGGATCCCGAGCGTATCTTTACTCCTCCTGAGTGGAGTTTAAAGTTATGAAGACTATATTGTCTGTCGACCCTGCTTCGTCTCTTAATAACTATATTGTTACTGCAATCTATGGTGATCAGAGAACACTAGCATTCTTTTTGCCCGTAGACAAAGCTTGGACTTACATAGAGCAAGAGAAATGTGGCACTATCGAAGATGTCATATATTATAATGACCAGATTCTTGCCGTTGATAATTGGAGTGGAATCATGATGGTGGATCTTAATAGAAGGGTTGGGGAGAGTAAGGTTCCCCAAGTGAAGGTAGTTGCACCACGGACTCCTCAGGGCCATCCTAAACAGATGTATCTTGTTGAATCATCTAACGGAGATTTACTTATTGTAGAAAGGTTGCTAAAAATTCATTTGACCGATTCAACGCATGCAACTTCAACCTTTAAGGTTTTTAAGATCCTTTTACAGTAAACTGAGAAGGGTATGGCTAAGTGGGTTGAAGTGAAGAGCTTCGGTGGAGCTTGTTTCTGGGAGATAACCATTCAATTTGTGTTTTAGCCTCCAAATGGCCTGGGTGTCAACAAAATTCTCTATACTACACGGATGATTATATTGACATTTTATTCCATCTCCCATATGGGCGTCGCGACATTGGTATCTTCAACATAGAAAATGGAAACTTTGGGACGCATTACATTCTCGATCCTTCACATATGCATATGCCCCGCCTTCAATTTGGATTGTGCCAACTGTGCTAGGAAATTGGGTACATAAATAACTTCTTAACTGTCTTTTGCTCGAATTTAATTTGTTTAGGGTCTTAAAATATAGCATAAGATCAATTATTATTTTTACTTTATTTTACTTTTATTATTTTTTGGGTAACAAGAAAGTGCTGTCTTTTTTCAATTTAGTTATCAGTTAGAGGTTCTGGAACTTTGAATTACGCTGTTGAGAAATGGCTGGTATGAACTTAGGTGTATTGTGTGCTACTGGCGTATTGATTCTCTTCCAATTTGATCAAGGAAACTAGTTAAGATAAAAATGTCTATTAACCACAAAACCATATGACATTCATGAACAACATAAATTGTTTGGAGATGCAAACAATAGATGTTGATTGTTAGTTTAACCGGCTGATATTGTAATAAATTAATAATGTAACAACAGGGTCCAGATACTAGCAACACAGCCCAAAGAAAGGGGCCCAAAACATTTGAATAAAAACCCAGGGGAATGCCCAGTCCTATGGGTATGGGTACTACTCTCACCGGTCACCATACACTTTAGAAAGTAGAAAGAATAATACCAAGGATACGAAGCCCTTATTAGAGTTTATAGATCTTTTAATAATACTATAAACGACACTATTAACATATAAGCATGGGAATCAGTGCATTATGTAATATTTTAATCTAAAATTAATTTTTATAAATTACGCTTATACATTTATATATATATATATCCTTATACATTTATATATATATATATATATATATGTTATGAAGAAAAGTTACTAAACAAGTTAATGAGTTCTACAACACAAAAAAAAAAAAATATGAAACAAAAGCGAATGTCAAACAAGATCAAAATTAGTGTTCAAGCGGATTTAATTTAACTTGATGCTATCAATCTTCTAATGACTCCACATAAATGATAAGCTCCCTGAGGCCACTTACAACAATATAACAAGAAAATTTTGTCCCAATAAATTAAAGCAAAGTCATTACTTATCAAAAAAAAAAAAAAAAAATTAAAGCAAAGTCACGTTAGTTGAAACACAGGCAGATGTTAGTCCAAAACACACAAACAAGCAACGGAACCAAATCAACTCCTAAATTTTTATCAGCTCCAATGCAAAAAGTATCTTCTTTCTTGGACCCTAGAAGAGTTAAAGTGAACATAAAATGAGTAAGAGACAAATATTTTGGAGGGTGGGAGTCAAATCTCTTACTAATATTAACAAAAAAGAAAAGAAAAAAATTATATATATAGGAGCATTTCCTAAATCACAACCCATCAATCGAATAATCCACAGAGAGGTTGTATCCAATAAAGCCAGTATTAACCTTCTCATCTAAAAGCATACTTGTATTTCGGCAAGCACCTTACTAAACAACTTATAATACACCCACTCATTAAGGTTGATAAAGGAAGACTTCGTCGAATATCATATTTCTCCATATCACTTATGGTTTTAACCAGAGGCATTTACCCAACTTTTTCACAAATGGATCCATTCGCGGGACAATCAAAGGGGCTCGAATTCCGTAAATAGGGGCGTAAAGTCTAACTGCAGTAGTTGCAAGAAAGACCATTGGTCGGGGAACAGTCAGGCAGGCTTTTGGGACCCAACTCTAGAGACCACTTAGAGAGGAGAGAGGGAAAAACAAACTCAACTATGTATGCATGAAAAGGGCAAATGCAGGAATTGTCAATGGAGTGGGCTAATATTTCTTTGGGTAGTAATACTTTTTTTGGCTGGGCTAAAATTGTCTATAGTAAAAAAAAAAAAAATTGGGGTGGGTTTGAGCCCACCAGACCCACCCATAGATCCGCCAGTGTATGCAAGTGAGATTTAGTTAAAATGTTCATTTCATAAAGTTAACAGGATCATTTGCGTTAGGGGTGCACAAAAGAACTGTGGAACCGAAACCGAAACCGGAACCGTGAGAACCAAAACCGAATTTTCAGTTCTCACGGTTCCAGTTCCGGTTCCTAAAATAAGGAACTGTTGATACCGGTTCCGGTTCCGGTTCTTGGCTCACGGTTCGGTTCCAGAACCGGAACCGATATATATATATATATATAATTATACTTGGGCTACTAGAACTGGGCTGTGCCGCTGTGGAGTGTGGGCTGTGCAATTTATTACTTTATCAGTAATCCACTAATCCAGTATCAGATAGACAAATGTCACAGATATTGGATAAAGTAATAAAATATCAAAAATTAAAATCACAAATTCAAAACTCAAAAACCTAAACCTAAGTTTACCTAAATTCCTAACCTCTCAAGTCTCAAACTCACTCCGCGGCTCCGCCTCCCCTCCTCTCCCCTCCTCTCCTCTCAGCGTTCTCAGGCTCTCACTATCTAGTCTATCTCAAGTCTCAACTCACTGGTCTCTACTCTCTATCTTCTCATAACTCAGAAATCTCTTCGGACTCGCCTCAGATCACAGTCTCTATCTTCTCAGATCAAGGTCACTGATTCGTGGATTCGGTCGGATCGGTCTATGTCTTCTGAGATCTTCGGCTTCCGGTCTCAGTTTGGTAGGTATTTCGTAGCTCTCTTATCTTCTTAGATCTTTTGCTTTTAGATTCGTGAAAATGGATTGTGGATACAAACTTCTTATATGTGACTGCTCTACTTGGGAGTTGGGGGTTTAGGGTTTGTTTGATCCATCCATCTTGTTCATATATTTGGGGGTTTAGGGTTTTTCCAGCAATTAGTCCTTTGGTTTGATTTGGGTCCTTTTCGATTTCTCTCTCTGGTGAATGATGATCGATCAATTGGTCTTTTCATTTTTCAAATCTTTTTCTGGATTTTGACCCAAGCTATTACAATCTAGTGTCCGGAGCTTTTCTTGCTGGTTTTGTTTGCTGGAAAGTGGAATCCATCCTAAAGAGTTCGTCTAGACATGGGCAGAATTCTTGTGGTGGTTGTTGGTTAATTTGGTGCATATTGAATCTATTTTTTTTTTAAGGAAAACAAAAAAAAAAAAAAAGGCTCGCATAAAGCAATTTGTAATACTATCAGACCTGGCTGTGGATCACATGTTAGTTCATATATACTTCCAAGATCTGGTAGGTGTTTTTTTTTTTTAAAGCATAAAAAATTATTGTGGCTGTAATCTATATAAATAATTAAATATGGCCCCTAAATGTTCATCACATATTCACATGTTTGGAGATCTCATCACATACAAATCATCAATATATAATATTTTCTACATTGTTAGTTCATATCAGGTGACAAAAGCATTTTAGAAGAGAATTAAATGACTTGTGTGTAGTGCTTAGTGCAACTGCTAACGTGTTAGAAATCTTCTTGATTTCAATTGTTTCATACTCTAATTTAAACTGATTTTTAATTTTTTTTGGTCAGTATTTAGTGTCTATTCGACAAAATGGGGAAGTCTGGGAAGAGGCTTTCTGTGTGAGCAGCTACAATGGACTAATGGAGGAGTTACTGTTGCAGTGTTGCTGTTGCCAAATGATGTTGGATTGTTGAATGTTGATTAAGTTTTTTTAACTTTTTTGTAATTCTAATGGAGTAAAGTGAATTTCTGGATGTAATATTTGTATATAGTATGTTTATTTATGTTATTGTATTTGTATTTTTTTTTTTTAAGGGAAATTCAAATAATATTAAAAAAGTCAACTTCGTCAACGGTTCCACTGGCCATGGTTCCGGTTCCAGTTCCATTTTTTAGGAACCGTTAGGACCGGTTCCGGTTCCGGTTCCAGCAGGAACCGTAAAGAACCGAACCATGTGCACCCCTAATTTAGGTCACTTTAATTCATATACGGGTATTTTTTGAAGTTAGAATTTACCCCTTTGAATGACCTAGTTGTTTGACAATGGGTGGTTGTTTGACAATGGGTGGTTAGCGTAATTTTGTAAAACCTCAAGGAGGTTGACCACAATCTTTCAACTAGTTTCTTCTAAAGAAAATTTCAAAAAAAACTCGAGGGTACTTTACACTAAATTCTAATATCTGCAAGCCCTCAATCAGCCAAGACATAAAGTTTCTAAAGGTGCAATAGTAAACAGAGAAACACTACATACAGTACTTATTAAAATAATAATAAGAAGAAGAATAACAAAAGGCTACAGATTGTAGGGTACTAGGGCTAGCCAAGTTGCATTTACCTCAGGTAATCCTAAAGCCTTGAGATCATCATCCGTTAAGTGTACAAGAGCGGCCATATCAATCTGCAGAAAAACCATGAGGCATAAAAATAGTGAAGGAATTTCTCAAGGTAATGGTAAAATCAAAGCCAGCACATAAAATTGCAGTAAACAAAAGAAAGATATAAAGTTCACGCACTTCCTCATATTCGAATATTATTGAATAATTTTCAAGACCTAGCTGCAGCAGGAAACCATCCACCGATTCAACCTGCACAAAATATGTACCACTCTTAAGTACGAAAACACATCATATCATGTATTTACTCTCCATTATTTATAAAAGTCTTTAGCTAAGATGATGTTTAAGATACACTCTCCATACACCAACCCCCCAAACAAAAGGGGGAAAAGAATTTGCAGCTTCACCGCCAAGTTCAACCCTTCAGGGTGAACAACCAACATAAGTGTAGGCGATCGGTATGAGAAGTGCTAATAAATTGACTATTTCCACAGAGACAAGTTTCATGGGAAAGAAATAGTCTGTTCGTCTAAGTGCAATATCAACATATAATAACAATGAAAGAAAAGTAACTCTTGAATACCTAACTATCCAGACAGTTCAAAATCAGTAAAAAAAAGAATAATGAAATACAATATGAATTGCACCATCAGTACCAAGGGCAGTAACCTAGTAGTATCTCACTATCTCCTCTACCTCCCGAAGTGAAAGGCGAGGGTTCAAGTTCCCAAAGGGACAAATGGGTGTGTCAGTTTCTTGCAGAGAAATAAATCGCACCAAAAGTGAAAAAATAAAATAAAATAAAATAAAAAATACTAGATCTGCCAACTTGAGTGGCATTTCTTGCCACTCCCCAAGAGGAAGGTCAGGTCCCAATTCCCGCTGGGACACTCTTTTTCCAGCAGCTTTACTACCTCAGGTACTGGCTCTGGCTTTGGTGGATCAGAGTCCACTGGCTGCATATGCGTGTCAACATCAAGTTCCTCAAACTGCTTAGACTGAACCTTAAGACCGCCTGAAATAAAACCCCTTTCCACTTTGAGTTCTTTGCTGAAAAATCCTTCACTAAAGCTATGAATAAAAATATAACTAAAACTATACAAGCCATTGACATTTGATCAAAGTACTATGTACAAGAGGCTGCTATATATTATTGTTGTTATTTACCATTACAACAGACATAAATATATAAGTCAAATAGAATCATAGCTACAGTCTTTAGATGAATGCAACTGTAAATCAAACAATTCATACTTGTCCAGAAGAATTCAGACATGTAGGCAAATTTACTCCGCCTGCAAAACAAATGACACTGAGTCAAATAAAATAAAATAAAATAAAATTTGACAAAAAAAGATAGTAGGCTTTGTGGCTCAACATATAATCGCACTCCACCTTACATACTAAGGAAACAAAATGCAGAAAAAGGGAAGTACATCTAACAGATTTTATTACTTAATGGCTCACAACTGTAGAACAGGCATAATTTATAGATGTATTACTCAATTCATAAAGATCCTAATGCCTCAAATAAAAACGTAATGCTTATTAGAGTACCAAAAGCAATGCGTATGATACATAAATGAGAACACACTAAATAAACAGCAATTGTTACGACAAACACAGCGGACCAATAACAAATCATGAAACACGATAGAAACGTAAACATGCCACACACAAAGAACACAGAGACTTACGTGATACGGCATAAGTTATCCAACGTCCACAGTGGATATTAAGCCAAAGATTTCATTATGTGAAAATCAGGAGATTATAGGTTTTAGCCTCCAAACCCTAGCTCTCGCTCTTACTCTCTTTCCTGCGATTTTCAATGCCTCATTCTATCCCACTCCAAACATTAGATGCCCTTGTATACGGGTCTACAAGAGATTACTAAATAGGGTCCACGACCTGGAAGCAGTCGAAAAAAAAAAAGGGGTCCACACAAAACAAACTTTTCGGATCAAAACCGTGTTGCAATGTGACCCAGGCCAAAACAAAATTCAGGCTGCAACAGAAATATTTGGCAATTTGCTAATAAAATTAAATTTCTTGGAGTGAAAATTATCATTGGAATAACACAGCCTAATAAAAGGATTCATGGGAGAAAAGGTATCACAGTTTTGAGTTGCATATCTTTTAATACTTCTTGAACTTTATTCGTGTTTTCATTTCAACTTCATACCCCTAACAACCATATATACATATGTAAACATGTATAACATTGTCATTTTCCTTGTTCTTATTTTGCATTACAATAAAACATAAACTGAACGCAGGACATTTCCCTTGATACTTGCATAGTATATAAATCTAGGTTCCTCTCAACAAATCATGCAGCCTACTAATTTTTTGTCAAGGCTGGTAAATGCAACAAACCCAAAAAACTCGCAATACACTATATTGTCAGGGTCAAGTGAGCAACTGAAACTTGCCTTTGCATTGATTCCTTATGGAATGGATGGAAAGGAACTTGAAATATATGGTATTTGGGTGTTTGGGTATGGTTTAGAAACATCTGAAAAGAAGTTCCACTCATAATTCTTGTCTAATTGATATTACTGGTGGCCTAGTTCAACAATGGAAACCTTGAAAGACATTCTCGACAAAGAATTGAACCTACTGAATAAGTTATTTCACTTAAAATTTCAACCTTAGAAGTTACCAAACATAAATTAATTGGAGAATAACTCAATTTGTTCACACATCTAAGACTCATTTCCTCAATTTGACCAATTTTCATAGTTTTGAAAAACTTAGAAGGAAATGATAAACAATAACAACAATAAGAAAAATTACAAATACTTACTGGGAATCAAAACAAAGTGATGTTAAACTTGCGGGACCAAGGTTCTTTATATTCAAGGCGCAGAGACCTGACCACAACGTTGAAAGCTCCTTCATGTCATCAGAAACTTGGACGATCAAGATGGAAACATATTGAAAGTTGGAGGGGTCAAGATTGAAACCAGTGAACATCATACAAAGTATTTTCTCTCCCAAATGAACTAAGCAACCGGGGGAGAGTGACCGACCACAATACATTGGTAGATCTAAAAAGTCCAGTTTTGTAAAATGCACTGGAACACCAATAGATTGAATGATACCATCATGTTCAGCAGAACGTCCGACATGATATGCAATCAAGTTTAAATTACGTCCCAAAGTGTATACGTAACCATCAACATATTCAGCCTTTCCAAACAGGGGGTAATAGAACTCATTCTCCTTTTCCTTTTTGACGACCTGCCAATCCTTCATTTCACTCCCGACTCTGTAATAATAAAATCCAGTTGTGTGTTCGTAAACAAAATCATAAACTGAAATGAGAATACACTCCTTGATAACTGCGTAACCGGAGACAACCCTGGGTAATTTTGTGTCCAGACGATACTCAGGTAGGGAAGAATAATCATCTCACCGCCCTTGATTGGGATCCAAACGTTCGAAACACGGAGAGCCTATTTCGATGCACGAACACGTGGTACCTCCAGCAAGCACAAAAATACCTTTTTCATGGACAGCCATCACTATGGGAAGAGGTTTTGTTGCTTGTGGCAATGGAAATTTGATACACTCTTTGGTATTTGTGTCGAAACGAAGGGGTTGAAGCTGCTTATATCTGTTTTCCTTAACCTCCAAAAATGAAGCCATCAAGAACATGTGCGATCCTGAGATATCACAACCAACCGGGGAATATACTCTTTATCTTCTGCAAATGCTCTAACCATAGGACTAACAAGTGCAATTTCAGATGCCCCTCCCCCTCCCCCTACTCCAATTTTGATTTCATAAATTGCAGCAATATATGGCCCACCATCAAAACCAGCAACCAGAAACAATGATACTTCCCCAGAATCCCCACCCTCCTCAACCTTAAATTGCCTACCTCCTCCTCCGCCGGAGATGGAATGGGGATTTAAAAGTCTTCACTGCGAGTCAGCAGATATTTTAGGGTTTTGGTGCCTCCCACTCTCCATCGGTTAAATTGCCTTCCTCCTCAGCCGCAGAAAGATGGTATGGGGCTGTGAAAGTTTCAGAAGAGAATCTCGGTGCTGCGCCGCGGCCTGTAGAAAGGCTTTTAGGGTTTTGGTTCCTCCTCCCTCCTCCTCCGCCGGAGATGGTATGGAGATGTGACTGTGAAGAGACTCTAGGTGTTGCGCCGCGGCCTTCAGAAGCCTTTTAGGGTTTTCGCTCCCCACGATGAATTTATATATAACACTTTCCTTTTTTTGTTTTTTTTGGAATTTTAAGCGGCTGATATTATAATAGTGTAACAACAGGGCTCAGATATAAGCAACACAGCCCAAAGAAAGGGCCCAAAACATTTGAATAAAAAGTTTAAAACCCAGGGGAAAGCCCAGTTCTATTCCTTTGTTTGGAATCAATTATTTTAGGATTTGGAAAAGAAATTGGAATTAAAAAGAAATTCCATTTCTATGTTTGGAACCAATTGAATTTGTAGTTGGATTTAAAAGGGAATTTGGAATAAAAATAATATTATACCATTTTTGCCCTTGTTTAAATGATAAATAAAATATTTATTTTATTGTCAAATATGCTCCAAAGTTACAACAAATAGATAAACAAAAAGAAGGACTGAATGATATAACTGAAATATAAAATTACTTATTTAACAAATCACGTAAAAAAAGAGCAATTATTTTTTAATTAAAAAACTAACTTATTAAACATCACCAACATACTTAAAAAAAAATCACTAAAAAGTAAAATAAAGTTGGTGAACAGTTATATGAGAGATAGGGTTAAATGAGAAGAAGACAGGTTGGAGATTAAAATAGGTTAAGTAGATATTGTACAAGGTTAATTAAGATAATATCGTATTTATATTCCAAATCCCGTCAAATCCTATCATTTTTGACAAGATTTGAAACACATCAAAAACAGTATTTGAAATCCCATAACTTTAAAATCTCATTCACAATCCAATGATTCCAAACACTCTAAATCTTATTTCTGAATCCAAATCCCATCAAATCTAACATTCCAAACACAAAAAACCAAGATTAACAATTAGTGTAATTGTTAATGGTGGTTATCAGTCCTACACATCAGGTAATCATCCCTAATTTCTAGGGACTATGAGATTCTATGTGATTCTCACGTGTTTTGAAGATGATTTTTGTGTTATTTTCTTCATTGATTTGCAGTCAAGTGTTGGGAGTTTATTGCACAGCTAGTCACATGTTAAACTTCAAGATGAGTCATTGATTTGCAGCAAAATTGTGCCAATGAGCTGGAGAATGATGACCCTCAAGATGAACTCTAGTATGCTTGAGACTATATGAACCTTTTATATAACATTCTGCTTGGAAACAAATTCGAATTGGAAAAGGAATAGAATTATAACCATAAAATTGTGCTAAAATATTATCTTATTATTATTATACATTATAGTTAAATACAGTTTGGGCGGGTACTAATTTTATGAGAAAAAATCCATGCGATTTCGGAAAGTCTTATGGGGAGTACCCTCACTAGTCACCATACATTTTAGTAAGTAGAAAGAATGATACCCAAGGATACAATGTTAGAAATTATGAATGAAAATTGTTTGATTAGTCGTTAATAGATGTCTTGGATTGAACATGTACGATTACTGGTTGGTTATGGGATGAAAAGATGCAACTCAAAACAAAATAGACATAACTATTAATGTGAACCATTGCAACCTATTGGAGTGGATGTTTTTATTGGTGAACAGACGACATGTGAACCATTGCAACTAATTGGAGTGGATGTGTTTAGTGTGAAGAGACACATATAAATGGTTGTGTCAAATGATAAAGAGACACATATAAATGGTTGTGTCCATTGATAAAGAGACACACCTAATCCGAAAAGGCACATTGCTTAAAAACTACTTTTTAGTTTTTCTTAAAGGGTTGCACCAACCCGAAAAGACACCTTATTGCTTATAAATACCACCATTTTGATCATTTGCAAATTGTTCATTTTCATTTTCTTCTATCTCCCTCTTTGGACTTGAACCCAACCCAAGTGGGTTCAAACCATAGGTTATGTGGTCCGAGCCACTTAGACCCTAACCCAATTTCATCGAGCCATATTAAGACTGGTCCAAACTGTTTGGTTCGAATTGCATCCAATTTTGAATTTATATAGTATAGATGCATTTTTGAGTTAGGGAGAGTATTACACGGAGGAAGTTCACCGTATCCACGAGTTTGTAGTGCTGCTAGTGATCGATATAGACCGTTGTATCCTAGGAGATAGATGTCACTGAGTCTGTTAGCACTGTAGTGGGGCGAATCTGTCTTAAAAACATAGTATCCAATACTAGCCTCGGTTCAGGTTCTTTATTTATTATTTAAACTTGTGAAAGAATGTCAGTTTTGCTGCTTTGTCAGCACCTTATGAGAAAGAAGATTTGCACCAATGAGATGAATGCAATAAAGTAGCTTGAAGAAACCTATTTCCTTCCCTGGTAGTTCTTCAAGGACCAGTCTTCCCGTGTGTCTATTGGTGTCAAACGGATGGGAGAGCTTGACAGTACTTCATTCCACCTTGCAACCAAAAGGAAATACTCTAAACAAGAAGCAGGTGAAAAGGCTATGGAACTTTGTTCATTGTGGGAGGATCACCTAGGGATCCAATTAAGGTGGCATCCATTTAAGATCATCAGAGTTGACGGCTGTGAAGACCATAAGGTATGCATTTCTGTGTAAAATTTCTATTTATTTCTTTTAGTAATGGACTATATATTTTCCCTCTTCAACATGCTTATGAATTTCAAGTAGCATTGTTGGTTGCCATTTTTTCCTCCGCAATTGCACTCTTGATAAAATTGGATAGGCATATTTTAAAATTTTAAATTCATTTAATCATTCCAATAGATACTGTTAATTTCTTATCTACGTGAATACGAATGGGGAAAGGATACTTTTCTCTCACTTGTAACTATTTATTAAAAGATAGGAGGGATACAAACAGTACTACAGTCTTTAATTTAAATTAAAATGAGATTGAGATGCAAACTAGCAACTTGAATGTCTCTACAACTTTCCGTCCTTCCTTAACACGTACTCTCTGTCTCTGTTTTATGGTTTACCTACGTGCTTATATGGTTAAAATTTGTGTGGCTGCTTAGGAAATTATCAATGAAGATGATGAAAAACTGAGCGATGTAAAGAATGAGTTTGGTGACGAAGTATACTCTGCTGTGACAACTGCCTTGATGGAGATCAACCAGTACAATCCCAGTGGAAGGCACACAATACCAGAGCTGTGGAATTTCAAAGAAGGCAGGCAATCAACATTGAGAGAAGGACTATCTTGTATACTGAAGCAGTTGAGAATGCATAAGCGGAAGAGGAACTAGAGGTTGACAATAGAATGACTCTACAGAGGCTTGGTAATATGCATATTTGTTATGTTTATATCTAGAAAAATATCTATTACAAAAACTTAGGATTTTTTTTTTTTTTCTCGTTAGTGTTGATATAAATATTATGTGGATGGGCGTTTTCTATTTGTCTATACCTTTATTGGATGTGGATGTGGAGGTGGCATCTTTTGCTGAGCTTGGTAGCAACTTCAACTTATCTGCAGTAATTTTTTTTGGTAAAAATTTAAGCCCTCGTCTTTTTGTGTTGCTCATGGGATTAGTTGCCAGTCGTGTACATGAAAAGCCTTAATACTCTATATTGCTTAGATATTAGTTAGTTGGATTGGAAGAAGAACATGGTATACATTAGCTATATGTTATCGTATATTTTAGAAGAAAACGAAACAGAGAACTTGGTTAGAACTTAGGCAATGCCAGTGTATGCCCCGCCTCAATGCTAATTTCATTTTTGTTGCCGTGAGACACGGATCATTTTGGTTGGATCGGAATCCTTCAAATTGACTATGGTTTGTTTAAAATATATGGTTTGAGGATTCCTCAATTTCCCATCCTTTTTTATCTGGAAATAAGACGAGGCAGTGTGTGGAAGAATTTCCTCTCTCACTGTCACTGATTTCAAAGGAATATCGCCAAAGAATCCACAACCAAAACAAACAAAAAAGAGGGGATACTCTTGTGGTAGGTAGTGAGAATCCAAAGCTCTAGTTTGTTTGCCTTTTAGGACAAGGAGAATCCAAAGAAAGCATGTGAGTGAACAAAGGGTCGCTCCCCCGGGTCCCACCCGACCCATGTACATGTTTGGTTAATGGCATCATTGCATTGGATCTTCTTGAGATGTGACCTGTTTGAGATACTGGTCATGTTTTGTTAAGAAAGAAAAAGGAGCTTAACTATTTCTGATCAGATGTTGTTTGTGTTAGTGCCATTTAATTGGACTTGCCATTCTCTTTTATAGGCCTGATCACGGTTCGGATAGGATCGGTTCGATTTGGGGATAGATCCTAAGTCGAACCGGTCCCCACGGATTGGTTAAAACTGAAACCGAACCGATCCATGGGGGCATTCGATCCAAACTAAACCGATCCATGAGTTAACGGATCGGATCGGTTCCCCGGATTGGGCTGATTGGGCTTTTCAAACAGCCCATTCAATTATGGCCCATTATCCACATTCAATTATGGCCCATTAATAGTAACATATTAGATTTGTAAATCCATACACCTAATAACAATTATAAGAGCAATAGATTTATATAACAGCAATAAAATTTCAAAATATATTTGGCACATATAAATACCACCACAAACTTATATTACGTAATAACTAAAAAAAAAAATTATAAATCATCCGGAAATGAAAATAATATTACAGTATCAAATATAAATTATCCAAATAGAACAAAACAAAATACTTAATTAGTAGTCCAGTAGCTCATTAGCATAAAAAATAAAAAAATAAAACAAAAAACAAAAAAAAAAAACAAAAATAGCACAATAAAATATCAAACAACAGTCTTGACTAGCAGCAAAACAAGTCTGAAAATGGCAGCATATCAAGTTTGAAAATTGCAGCAAAACAAGTCTGAAAATGGTAGCAAGCAAGGCTAGCTCTCAATCTGAATCTGAACTGTAGTCACATCTACAAAATAACATAATTTAATTAAAAATCCACAATATGATATTTATTCATAAATTGAATAAAATGTAAAAAATTGTTAACACTTACCGGAGTCGTATTGTTCAAGTTCGTCCAACTTTTTTTCAACATCAACTGTTTCTATTTTATATTTTTGTTGTTAAATTCATAAAAAAAAATACTGAAATAAAATCATTACAAAAAATGTTGTATACAAAACAAAAATTAAAATTTTATTTTTGGTATTTCATATTACAAAAAATACCAAAACTGTTTATTTA